GACAGCCCGACAGCCCGACAGCCCGACAGCCCGACAGCCCGACAGCCTGACAGCCCGACAGCCCGACAGCCCGACCCGACCCGACCAGACCCGACCAGACCCGACCAGACCAGCCCAGACCAGCAGACCAGAACACAACAGAACAGCTCTCCGCATCACAAGCCCGCAGCCAGAACAGAGCAGCACAGCAAGAGCAAAAGCAGCAAAGTCCGAGGCCTTCTTAGGCTCCAGTTAGGTGAACTAGTTGTGGTCGTGTGACGAACACTCTGTCCGAGAGGCTGCCTCCCTTTTCCTCTGTGTCTTTCTTTCTGGATCTGTTTGTGTCCATCAACGGGGTCTTGAATTCTTTTGTAATCCTGCAAAAGCACTCTAGACTCTAATGAATTTCCTGCCTACCCTTCGCACGGATCGAAAAATCAGCCAGCTCCAACCCACATCAGAGGTCAGGTCGAGCGTCAAGGTCTGCTGCATCCGCTGAAATCCGCTGGATCCACCGATCGGCTGGGCAGCAGGGTGATCATAAGTGGGGGTGGAGGAGGGTAGAGGAATATCTGACCACACCCCAGAGAGGCCATGTCTCCATTCGAGTCGACCGAAGAATCGATGAGGATCTCATCTTGCTTCACCGAGTCTCAGCCTTGGGGCAGCATTTCAGTTGTTGAAGTCGCAGCACGCCCTGCCTGATGGAAGTCCCAGGTAGGGATCACCCGGCTACGAGGGGTTCGAACGCAAGACACGAATCACGGTGCCACAGCGTCCCACAAAGAGAGAAAACCTTCTCGATTCAAAAAGCTTTGTCTTTCCCAATCTGCAACAACTGCAATGGCGAACAGGAATCTGTAAGCTTTTACTGGCAAGTGGCATGGCTTCACATGGTGGGGCCTGTCATCTTCACTTCCAAGAAAGACACCAAAGCTCAAGGTGTATGGGTCCTCAGAACAAGCTTACACATCAATGAACATGTTGTCAAGCGACATGACTGATCCACCAGGGCCACATTGGCACAGATGGGCAACAGCTAGCTTGGGATGGCTTCTGCTCAAAGCAGCGGACTTCGATGGACTTCGCCATTTGAATTGATTGTTTGAAGAGGTCTGGCTAAGCTGATGGCACTGATGGCGTTCTTCGGCTGCTGAGCCAGGAGAGTCCAAAGGGAGGAATCCAGAAGCACCTGGCAGGGGAGCACACAGTATGTTTCAGCTCTGATGCCATGAAGTCCTAGGTGTTCCCAGCTATCGTTGCAGCTTCCTGGAGCTGTGGCCCAAGCCGAAGATCGAGACGTAAAGGTCCCACAAGAGAAGAATCCTTTTCTTGGTCCGACCAAGCTGGGTGTTTCTATGTGTGTCGTTTCTTGCTTCCATCAATTCTAGAGTCTAGAACTCCAGTTCCAGGGTTTCAGGGTTGCGTTGTTGGTTCCAGGGCCTGGTCCAAGAGAAGTCAGAAGGAAGTACTGAAGAAATTGTTTGAGCAATTTAATGGCATCGGCTTCAAAAAGTTCGTGGCCTGGCCTCGGGCACCTCACTTTGCCGTCTCGGGCGACTCGGCAGCTGCTTGGTCAACCAGGGACCCACTTCAAAGAGGTCCAGGCCTCCAGGATCGTCGCCTGGTTTTAGCTGCGACTTCACCAGGAATGAAGTAAGCGCTGCATCTTTCGTCGCACGTTGCGCGCTGTACGAAAAATCATCAGCAACGCGGAGGAACACATTTGTTGCTGCAACAGTCCGACCTTGGGCTTTGGGAGTGGCTAGGCATGTTGCTTTCATCGCCTGAAAGCAGTGGCTAGGTTCATCAGCATGAATAGACCAAACAGCCTGGCTAGCTAATGACAAGGACTGGGGTCGGCTCACCATGTCTCATTCGTCTTGAGAAAATAGCCGAGAAAACAGCCGACCCAGCCGACCCAGATGTCCACACAAAGCACCAAGACTCCCAGTACACGGGGAGCTCACTTCAGATTCCGTGCAATTCGCTCCTTTAGCTCTTCTTCCAAGCTCTTCTTCTCCTCTTGCCATCTAGAGCGTTCGTGAAGGAGCTCCTCCAAACACACGTGCAACGGAGGGGGTGCCTCTTCCCTTCAGAGGCCTGTTCGGAATGATGTTCGCTAGCTGAAGCTCTAACAGGTCTCTCAGGCTACAACTGTTTTCGGGCTTACTGTCAACGGAGCACCTTACTACAAGTAGCTGATTCTTTTCTAAGAGATCCAAATTCAATGCCTTCAGAAATCGTCTTGATACTCAAGAAACTTGTTCACAAGTCCAAGATCCGGGGCACACGAGGTGATTCTTCGCAAAAGAGACGATCGATCCTTTCGTGCTTGGGCCAGAGCTTCAACCTTCGCTAATGCCTTTGCTTGCGCAATCCTCAAGCAATCCAGACTGACCGGAACTGAACACAACATCACTTAATTAAAGGCTAATTATTGTTTCTAATAGCTTCTTGTTACTACTAGTAAGGCCCTTGTTACTAGTAGCGATGCACTTGTTCCTAGTAGCTTCTTGTTTCTATAGTTCCTCAGAAACCCCCAAGGGATTGGTTGACCAAGAATCCTTGCTCTACAATTGTCTGTTTGCCCCTGCCAGAGCCCTGCAAAAACAGTCAAGTCCTGAAAAAAACTCTGAGGAATGTATAGCTAAGTCTCTCCTCATCCCAGCCACGTCGAAAGGAGTTGTGATTGTCCCCGTCGACCAAGGGTTCTCCGTCATCTTCGAACTCGCCTTCTATGGTTTCTTCTTCTTCTTCTTCCTCTTCTTCATGGTCTTCATCTTCATTCTCCTTGATCGCTTCTCTGTGGCAAGACCGGAGCATGTTCCATGACCCCATGACCAGCAACTCCAAATTGGCTCCTCATCTTGCTCAGTAGCCCATTGTCTTTGAAGCTCCTAGAAGAAACAAAACAAGATTCTACAAGGGTTTTTGGTCCTCGAGCATGAAAACTTTCTTGCTCAAAAGAAAAAGTACAAGTCAACATGAAGCCAGTCAGCCAGTCCTTCTGCTTGCTGAAGGGAGGCCTCAATTCCCAAGACTGTTCTCAAGGCTAGCCTCTACATTAAATCAACCGGAGCAGCTCACATGGAAGCCAAAACGGAACCGACCCTTCACCTCTCTGCATCTGCCTGGCCGAGGTGCTGCGATCCACAGCGAACCGCTCCAAACGGCGTTTCTCAATTTGCCCCAGACGCCATGCGTCTTTGTCCGTGCCATGGCCAATCATGTCGACTCTGAATTCATAACCTCCCTTCTTCACTTGAATTGAAAAGCCTCTTCATATGGGGGGGTTGCTAATGGTTACTAATCAAGAGTCTACCGTGGCAGCTCCCAGGCTCTACCGTGCTGCGAGCGCCTTCTCCACTAAGAGCCTTCTGACTTCTTCAACTCGCTAGCTTTGCGCACGGCGAAGGGATGCATTCAATTTTCTTCAAGGAAGTAGGGAGCGCAATCACCAAATCCAATAACGCATGAGTCTCCTCGACCAAATCTTCTCGACGGCTACAGTATTGGCCTTCTGGCTCGGGACGACGGACTCACTGCCGAACGGTGGGGGGCCTTTCTCTTGATAAGGCTTCAGGGGGAGCTCCGAAAGGTCTGTCTCATGCTTGGCCACGTTCGCCACAGCCGAAGTTGCGACGTTGAACTTGTTCAGTTGGAACCCAAGGATTTATCCAGCAGGCCCGACCCGGATGCCAGCACGAACGCTTCAAGCGCACCCGACAAGAATCAGCAGATGCGACAAGGGATGCGAGAAATTGAGAATATCTGTGATCGTGTGTTCAGATTGTCATGCTTTTCATGTCCAAATCAACTAAGCCACTAAGCTCCAGGCCCAAAGCTTTGGCTGGGAGCTCCCTGTGAAAAACGATCCAAAGAGCAAAAATGCCAGAGGGAGAGCTTCGTTTTGCGATTCAAAGAAATTGGCAGTTCGCCTGGCCTGCATTCTGTTGGGCGCCGTTGGGGGCGCCGTTTTGGGCTGCGCGTTGGGCGGCCGACACACAGTCATGACCTGCGCGGAAGCGACGAAGGAAGCGACGAAAGAGTCGGGAACTTGGCGAGTCGTGTTTGGCTGACAGCTGAAGCAATTGATCAGTTTGTTTCGAGAAAAGAAGAACTGCTCCGATCAGTTCCATCCACTCACCCCGTTCGGCTGTTTTCACTTCGACACCACACACCGTGAATCACACCCCCATCACAGCTCTCCACACGGTTCCATGTATTTTTGAGGCCCAAAAGAGGGAGCTCTCTGAAACGTCTGAGCTCCAAAAAAGGAGTCCCAGTCTGGGTTGTTTTACGTTGCCTCCGCATGGCGCTTGCGCAATGCTTGAAGCCTGGCGGTTGAGGCGTTCTTTCTTCGGGGACATGAGGGATCAGAACTTAGAAATCCAGAACTTGGATTTCCAGGATGACCAAATCCTCAAAAGGGAACTTGGACAAACTTTGACCCATGCACTCAATTTGGACAAAGAAAGCCGCACTGGTTCAGAAACGAATGGAAGTTGACCAGACTTTGATGCCGGCACAACAAAGCTATGCGTGTCTCTTTGTGTATGTTGCATGTGTGTAGAACACATCGGACCTGCTTGAAATCTCCTGAAAGTCCCCCCTCTCCTGGCATCTGCAGGATAGCCAGACTTCTCCTGCAACCCAGTGTCTCAACCAGGGTTTTTGCACGCAGTGCCCTCGTCACGCAGTGCCCTTGCCACTGCCACTAACTGTGTGACACTTGTGTCCTCAAGCACCTCTCTCTGAGGTAGTGTATATCCTGCAAATCACGCAGTTCACTCACTTTGAGAGAAGGAAGAAGGAAGAATCGTTTGGAGACCGCCCAAACCGTCGAGAAATCGACACAGCTCTTCTCGGAGGTTCCGCACCGCTGTCGTATTGATCCAAACTTGAGGCCGAGGGTAGGTGACGAAAGCTAGCAGGGGTGCATCCGGACTTGTGGGACATCAAGCGGAGTGAGGCAAATGCTCATGAGGTAAAACGTTGTGAACATGTAAGACACACAAACAGCAATGACACAGCCAACCTTAGAATTGAAGTCCCCGATAATTAAGGAAGCGTGGCTGGACTTTGCCACA